CCACACACACGGACTATGTTGCCCTGCGTCCTGTTCCAGGCTCTGAGATTATGACGGTGAACCAGACATGGTATCTGCCTCTGTGCCTCTCTCAGACGCAGGCAGGAGGCGGAGAGACACACAGGTACCGTCCAGTCTGGGAAGACGATGGAGGAGAGCCCGGGAGGTGTGGGTGCACAGGGGTGAGTTTGGAGGACGCCAAAGGCAGACTTCACCGAGCGCCCTCTCTGTGGAGGACAGGTGGCCTCGATGGTGATGGAATATTTCCTAACACTTCGGTGTGGTAATTTGCCAACATCCAGCAAAGTTGAAGGGGTTTTATAGCCAACACCCATATCCACCCTTTACATCCTGCAGTGAACATTGTCCAAGATGTATTCTCTGAAATACCTGTTCTATTCATCCATCCATCTGACCTTTTATGCGTTTTACAGTAAATTGCAAATATCTGCACACTTAGCCCAATTATTTCAGCAGAGATTTGTCTGTAGTTCTTCTTTTGCTGTCAACGCACACGCAGTGGAATGCACAAATCTTAGCTTTGCATTTGTTGAGTTTTGAGAACTGCAGACACCTGTGTAACATGAGCATATTCTAGGATATAGAATAGTACCTTCATCCCCCGTTGGCCCTTTCCAGCCAGAGCTCACCTGTCCCCCTTCCCTTCCCCCCTCGATCGATTAGATGCGCCTGTTCTAGAAGGTGATGTAAATAGGACCCTGCAGTCCGTGAACCTCGTGTAAGGAAGGCTTCAGGGTGACTTGCATGTTGCATAATGTTTGTGCAGCGTGATGCTTTTTGAGGTTCGTCCATCTTCCTGTGTATCAGCACTTTTTTCTTTCTGCTGACGAATAGCTGTCCATTCTCTGAACAGACTACGGTCTGTTAATCCGTTTTCATCATGATGGACTCCAGGGCTGTGTCCAGGTTTGGCTGTCTGGGGAACGTTGCTCAGAAAACTTGCAGGTTTTTTGTGAACCTGATTTCGTTCCTCTGGGGATGCTATCTGGGACTGGAATTGCTCGCGATAGAGCAGGCGTTTGTTTAGTTTTGTGCAAAACTGCCAAAAGGCTTTCCAACGCGGTGGTGCTGTTTTCTGCTCCTACCAACGGCTCCATTTGCTGCACATCCGTGCCAACACATGGTGCTACCAGTCTTTTTCACGTTCGGTATTCTGAGTGTTTAGTTGTATTTCCATGTGGTTTTCACTAGCATTTCTCTGATGAGTAATGGGGATGGACTTTTTAAAAAAATATATTTTTATTGATTTCAGAGAGGAAGGGAGAGGGAGAGAGAGAGAAACATCAACGAGGAGAGAGAATCACTGATCGGCTGCCTCCTGCATGCCCCCCACTGGGGATCGAGCCCACAACCCAGGCATGTGCCCTTGGCTGGAATCGAACCTGGGACCCTTCAGTCCACACTCCGATGCTCTATCCACTGAGCCACACCCACCAGGGTGGGGACGAACTTTTTCTTCATGTGCTTCATAACCAGTCACATATGTTTATTTGTGAAGTTTTTATTCATAACTTTTTGCCATTAAAAATTGGGTGATTTATAATTATTTTTATTTTAACAATATATTTTTATGGATTTCAGAGAGGAAGGGAGAGGGAGAGAGATAGAAACATCAATGATGAGAGAGAATCATTGATTGGCTGCCTCCTGCATGCCCCACACTGGGGCTGGAGTCCTCAACTTGTGCATATGCCCTGACCGGGAGTCGAACCCTGACCTCCTGGTTCATAGGTCGATGCTCAACCACTGAGCCATGCTAGCTGGGCTGACTTATAGTTATGTGTGGGCTACGTGTCTGGGTACCCGTCCTTTGTCAGATATGAGACGATTCTCTATGAAGCGGTGGCTCTCCTATTCATTTTTCTTAGTGTATATTCCGTGCACAGATGTTTTCCATTTGGATGAGGTTAGTTTATCGGGTTTCTCCTTCCGGGCTATGGCTTTGTGTGTCTTGTAGAGGAAAACTTGGCTCAACAGAACATACTCAAGTCACCATGCTCTTTTCCTGTGTTCGCTTCGTGAAAGTTTTATGGATTAGCTGGTCGGTTTAGCTCTGTCGCTCACTTTGCATTACATTTTCTGTATGATGTGGAGGAAGGGTTGAGGTTCATGTGTTTGGTATCTGGATACCCATTTCTTGAGAAAAAGCCCTTTGCTTCGTGGATCGCTCTGGTGTCCATATGAAAGGTCAGATGCCTTGTACAGTGGGCGATCTTCTGGATCCTGTGCTGTTGACTTTGCCTCCTATCTGGGCACCAGACTGTCTGAATGGTTGTGGGTTCATAGCAAGTCTTGAAAGCAGGTTGTGTGGTGCTGGCTGGTGGACCCTGGAAAGGTTTGGGGG